GAGGGAGATCAGTTAGTATGTATTATAGAGAAATTGTTACTAGCCCCAAAAGTAACTAATCCTTCACAGAGGCATGCATTGATCAAGACTAAAGGCATGGTGGGCGGTAAGGTGTGTGATCTACTGGTTGATAGCGGGTGCACGGAGAATGTAGTGTCTCGTGCCATGGTGCAGGCGTTGCAATTAAAAACCACAAAAAATCCTAACCCATACAAAATCAGTTGGGTTAAAAAGGGTATGCAGATGACAGTAACAGACTTGTGCCGAGTCTCCTTTTGCATTGGCAAACATTATTCGAGCAAAGTTTTGTGCGATGTGTTAGACATGGACATGTGTCATATAATCTTGGGGCGACCATGGCAGTACGACGTAGGAGCAATATACGACCGCCGAGCCAATACTTACGCTTTTGATTGGAAGGGAAAGAGATTGAGGTTGCTGCAAGGTAATACGGGAGTGGATGCTCAGCGATCGAAGGTGTTTTCTATTTCGGTGGCAGCAATGATCAATGCCTGGAGAGAAACCTCTAGTCTGCTGGCAGTAATAGTGAAAGAAGTGGCAGAATCCGTGACCAGGAGAGATTGTGCAGTGGAGCTGACTGAATTGTTGAAGCAATTTGACGACGTATATTCCGAGAAGCATCCAGCCGAATTACCTCCAATGCGCTCAATTCAACATCAAATCGAGCTCACTCCAGGAGCCTCACTACCTAATCTTCCACATTATAAACTCAGTCCAAATGAGAACAAGCTACTGCAAGAAATCATAGATGAGATGGTGGAAAAATAGTTAATTCAACACAGTTTATGCCCGTGCACGGTACCGATGTTGTTGGTACCCAAAAAAGATGGTAATTGGAGGATGTGCATGGACAGTAGAGCTATCAATAAGATCACTGTAAAATTTCATTTTCCTATGCCCCGATTTGAAGAAATGCTTGAACGGTTGGCTAGCTCAACCATTTTCTCCAAACTAGATCTGCGGAGTGGGTATCACCAGATCAGAATCAGACCGGGCGATGAATGGAAGACTGCCTTTAAAACACATGAAGGCCTGTATGAATGGAAGGTAATGCCATTTGGGCTGTGTAACGCACCTGCTACCTTCATGAGGTTAATGAATGATGTACTAAAACCATTTTTGAATCGGTGTTGTGTGGCTTATTTTGACGATATATTAGTATTCAGCAGTAGTTTTGAAGAGCACTTGAAACACTTAAAGGATATCCTTGGAACTTTAAGGCAACATAAAATGTATTTGAATTAAGCAAAGTGCGAATTTGCCACTTAAATGGTGTCATTTTTGGGATTTAGGATTTCGGCAGATGGGGTTAGCGCAGATCCACGCAAAATTCAGGCCGTGCGTGACTGGCCAACACTGACTACCTTCACTGAAGTGCGGAGCTTCCATGGCTTGGCAAATTTTTACAGAAGGTTCATTAAAGGTTTTAGCATATTGATGGCACCCGTAACTGAGTTGTTGAAGCAGAAAACGTTCGCATGGGGAGAAGAGCAGGAGAAAAGCTTCTCATCCATTATAGTAACACAGGCACCAGTGCTCGCATTACCGAACTTTGAAAAACCATTCGCTGTGGAGACGGATGCTTCAGCCATTAGTATAGGTGCTGTGTTATCACAGGAGAATTAGCCCATTGAATTTCTTAGTGAGAAGCTCAGCGCCCCGAGGCAGCGGTGGACGGTGTATGAGCAAGAATTATACGCGGTGGTCCGGGCATTAAAACAATGGGAACACTATTTACTGCATCAAGATTTTGTTTTGCATAGCGATCACAAGGCTCTACAATATATAAATATGCAAAAGAATATCAGTCGAATGCACGCTCGATGGGTCTTATTCTTACAGAAATTCACTTTTGTGTTAACACATAAAAGCGGAAAGAAAAACTGGGTAGTCGATGCTCTAAGCTACAGGGCAGCTTTGATTACTCAATTTCAAACCGAGTACATGGGTCTCGAAAGCTTACAGGAATTATATTCGGATGATGAAGATTTTAGTGAAGTATGGCACAAATGCAGTAACCGTGAACCTGCTGATGAATTTTCTATTAGGCATGGGTTTCTCTTAAAAGGGAATATGCTATGCATTCCGCAATCGTCTTTGCGACAACAAATTATAAAGGAGATGCACGACGGTAGCTTGGCTGCCCATATGGGTAGAGATAAGACCATCTCTCAAGTGCAAACTCAATTTTTTTGGCCTCATTTGAGAAGAGATGTGACTAGGTATGTAGAAAGATGCTCTATCTGTCAAAATTACAAAGGCGACAGTCAAAATACAAGATTATATCTTCCATTGTTGGTGCTGGAGACGATATGGGAAGACTTAAGCCTAGACATAGTACCCATCCAGTACCTAAACCAGTGATGTGGAAATTGCCAAATTTGCTCCATTGTCTCCTCAAATCATTACAAACATAAGAGAAAAAAATCTTTTCCCCAAAAACTTTAACTACCAAAGCATTTCTCAGTTTCAATGTATTGTTAGCTTCATTTTCAGAATGTAACCTGACCGAGTTACCATCATTTGAAAGAAATGAACCAATATCCAAGTTATCCACTCTGATATTTTGTTTTTTCTTCCATGCCGCGGAAACTTCAATGTGCCCTTCCAATGGAACATTGAGAACATCTACAAACTTCTTCTTGTTTTCAGTATCGATCGAAACTAGAGGGGGAAAGTCATCCAACACCTTGTCATCATTCGACTTAATATCTTCTTGTCCCGTCTTCTTCCCAGAATTGAAAACAATTGGGGATGACGGCAGGGAAACAGATTTAAACCCATCATTAAAAATTATCTTCTCTGAAGATGAGGAAGCACCCTCATTTAGAATTATTGAATTTACTTTGCAGCATGTGGATGGAAAAAATTTTCTTGGACTAAAAAAATCATCAACAATCAAAGATTCTTTACCTTTTCCCACAGGAATTGGATTAACAACTTTGTTTAATAAACCTCCTTCCCTTATGATCAAAGGTTTTTGTTTTGGAAAGCTATTGAATCCAGAAGCTGAAATCTGGCTTCCTTGGAAAACTTTTGAAGAAGATCTAACCAGAGCATTAAAACCCCTTATGATATTCGCCCAGGCCTCAGAAGGCGCTGATCTTCTACCCTCTATTGCCGTCCCCTCGCTCCTCTGGCGAGACGGCGTCAAACCAGCCAAACAAACCAGCCGCGATTTTTGCCGGGAAAGCAAAAATTTGAAAAAAGATCACCGGAATCTCCTTTTTTGGGTGCTGTCTACGCACAGCCCGTATTCTAGTTTATGCTTATCTTGTAATAGTAGAAAAAGGAACAACCGGCTTGTAGGTTTTATTTTCTTTTTGAATGTAGCTCATTTGAGCATTAGAGAGCTGGAGGTTCCTTTTAAGGACGGTGTAACCGAATTTTTGGAATTAACACGTAAGCCACTTCTGAGGGTTTAAAAAAAAAATACTATACGGTCTAGATTATATTAATTCTTTGATAATTTTATTAAAAATTTAAATAATTAAGTAGTATTAATTAATTAAAAAATAAAACAAAAGTTATGAAATAACATATTATATTGTATGATATATATCAACAATGTTTAATTGCTAATACTTCCACATATCTATAACAGCCAACTCATCCATTGTTTTATCATTATATTTTTATGGTAGTCTTTCCAACAGCACTATTAAACCTATGAAGATTTATGATTTTTTTTCGGGAAGTTTAAGGGATTTGAGTGCGAGTGAGAGGGGAGGAATTTCTTCTGTCGACGGTCCTACCGTAGATCCGATCTCCAGATCGAATAGTTCACTATTCACATAGAGCAACTTGAATAGAGCATCAAAGTTTCAAAGCTCTTCCATTTGCATGCACTTTTCTTCTTTTCTATTATATGATAGCCTAACAAGTTTTCAAGTAGGGTATGTGATCATCCATTGACAGATTTGATCCACTAACTCAGCTGTATGCTCAAAATCAGTAAATGATGCATTTCATATTTCAAAGAGAAAAAATTATAGTAGAAATTTGCAGGTAGAAAGAATGCTTTCTTAACAAGGTTTATGGTAAGATTATTGTTTTATTTGGAGCTTCAAGTTCTTCTATCAATCAAGGATGTGATTAAAGATTAGATGTTTGCTTACAACGGCATAATCATAGAAGGAGACAATAAAAATGTCATCAGTTTCATTCAAAGTATTGTTAGGAAAGGTGGAAACGACTTGGGAGATCTTTCCTTTATCAAAGATTTCAACTTTGTTATTTTGATTGTGTGAAAAGGGAAAAAAATAATTTAGCGGATCTTTGTGCTAACTATGCAATTTTTAATTCTTTCTTTTGGGATGATTTAGTCATGAATATGGTTCCTCTTTCTTTTATTAATTTGTTAAAGGAGGAATCAAATGCTGTTAGGATATATCCATTTTTTAGTTATTAATAAAGCATTTTTTTGCTTTTCTTAAAAAAAACAGGAATCGTATTCAATAAGATTAATGCTTTCTTGCTCATATAGAGTGAACTGATTCAAAAGTTCTGAGAACTATTACTTTCCGATGAATTTAAGCATCAAAGATGCTGCGTAAGTATGATGCCTTGAACGCCAACGAAGGAAAGAATAATGAGTTGGCTAAGACCAAAGGAAGGAACAACTTGCTTTCTGGAAGGACAATTTCTCTTATTTACATTATGCATTGTGTTTATTACTTTAAGTACATTTTTGGCATATGCAAACATTTAATAAAAGTATAAAACTATTATTTTTTGAAATATTACTAATTAGGCTCAACTAAAAAATAACTGCTCGGACTCGATTAATCAAAAGAGAAAAATATGCTTGTAGTTGATTTTACATTTCAGGTTATTTTCAATTTTCAATCTAAGAAACTCAGTTCCACTTCATTAATTTAAAGAACTATTCTTATCTTTGAAGTACTAATTCCTTCTCAAAGACTATAAATAGAACAGTAGCTCTTCTTCATCTCCAGATGAGCGAGAGATAAGCTGATATGGCGGAGGCACTAGCTCAGAACGTCATCACTTCATTCGTGCAGGGAGTGATAAGTTCAAATCTGACAAACCTGAATAATCTGGCATTAAAGGAAGCGGGCCTTTTGCTGGGTGTTCGGGGAGAAATCACCTATATAATTGAGGAGCTTGAGATGATGAAGGCCTTTCTCAGAAGTGCAGAAGAGAAGCAGGAGACGGATTCCATGGCGAGGGTATGGGTGCGGCGCGTTAGAGAGGTCTCCTTGGACATGGAGAACTGCTTGGACAAGTTTGAAATCTACTTAAAACGTCGACCAAATTGGTACGCATATTTCATTTCAATATGTTTGCTGCTAATGTTTTTTCTGAATCATTAATTTCACAATGATTATCTTGGGAAAATTATGATAATTATAAATAATAATAATTTACAGTTTAAAAATATATAATTTTATATATTTAAATAAACTTATATAGTATAAAAAAAAGTTTCATAGAAGAAACTTAACAAAAGTTTTGATGACATGGACAAATTTAATTGGCTAGCTGGTATCCTAGAATTGAAAGCTCTTGATGAGCTCAAAGTTGACGATGAGCTTTTGGAAGTGTAACACCTAATTTTTCTCATACCCTCTTCAATAGAGAACCAAGACAAAATTGACACATCATATTTAATATATATATATATATATATATATATATAATAGATATATATATATATATATATATATATATATATATATATATATATATATATATAATATTAAAAAATATATATATATAAATTATTAATGTCTTGATGACAAATCATTCTTAGACCATGTCATCCTTGTTTAGTCAATAGCCATCATGTTGCTATAGTACCTCTATGTTGGGCACTCCTATAATCAGTAGAGTTAATTATAATCTTTATTTTATAATTAATGCAATTCTGCATTTCTTCAAAAAAAAAAAAATCTCCTTGACCATCATTTAGCTTGTTCACCTCGGCATTTTGTCCCTTTCTTGTTGATGACAGAGACTTTTCAAACATTTATCTTTTGTAAGCTTCTAAGGCTTCATTTGGATAGCTTTCTTCCTTCTTCTTAAAGCAATTTTTTAGTACAAAAATTAAATTTTTTTTTTAACTATAAAGTCGCTTTAAGAAGCAATAAGAAAGTCATCCCAAACGAAGCCTAAAATTATTGAAGTATGGAACTCCCTAAATAGAGGACATGAGTGAGATATCTTACAACCTTGATCATCTTCTTCTCTCTTTAAGTGATACGCCACCTCATTAAGTTTTTTTCTAGTGGAAATAGGCTAAAATTGTAAAACAACTTTAAATTTGGCATGCTTTAATTTTAATTTACACTCTCATATTATTTTGTTTTTTTTTTTTAATTATCATCAATTCATTCATTCCATATATTAATTTGAATTTAAACCATTAGATGAACTATTTTTTACTTTAGGATACATCGAATCGCAACCAACATATACTTATATGTCCTCAATGAGGTAAACCTACAATTCAAACTCATTTTCAAGATTTTTGCATTCAAGGAGACTTGGGCCTACTAACTTTAGTAGCATTGAAAACTTGTTTATGTGAGGAAGGTGAGGAATTCCAACAGCATGCCTCATATAATTAAAAAGGAAAAGAAGAACTAATTTTTATGCTCAAAGTATAGTTAATAGTTTCAATCTTAATTGGGCACATCAACAGGAAACTTATCAATCTCTTTCAACCATGGATAGCTTCCCATTAGATTTATATCTCTTAGCGCCTTCCAAACCACACTATTGCACTTAAATCCAAAACTAAATCCAATTTTCTAGACCCCATCCCCTTTCTTAACCTTGTTCTTCACCTTCGAATACCTTAATTCATACCACAATCAATTTCTCGAAGTGTTCCCAAATTTGTACAGAGTCATCCACGATGACTCCATCGGCCAGCTTCAAAGATTCAATCTTTTCTCCATTCATCTAATATCACCCTAGTTTTACCATATAATATTTTATACTTATTATTTTTTCAAGGTGGAACACTACCTTAAAGCAAGTTGCATATGGTTTTATTTGCATTGTGGTAAAGTTTTATTTTCTTAAAGTTGTGTGCTACCTTAGAAAGTTTTTCACTCAAGATGACATTAAAGTTATATTGACAAAAATGATATTGATTCAGTGTTTAATTTGGTGAAACTCATAAATTAAATTTTATACCACCACTATAGACTTGCAAAAAAAATATATTGGATCTCCAAGCGATTAATATAAGATGAAACCTTTACAAAAAGTAAGTGATTCACTAATCTTAAACTTTTAAGATTGACTCACAAGTTCTTTGAGACAAGTCCACCATATAAAAATTAATATTTGTTGTCAAAATATTTTAATCATATTTTCTTTTTCTTTTCTTTATTATAATACAATATATAAGATGGTAAGTAGCCCTTTTGTTATATTAAAAGTCATACAAATTTATGGGCCTTTAGTTTTAAGTTTAAGAACGTAATTATGAGTTTGTGATTAAAAGATGAGGGACTTAAAGGGATATGGTTGAAGGAATAAATGGACTAAACAAATTTAGGCTAGTTTGGGATGATTTAAAATATCAATTTAGAATATAGAATTTAAATAGGGTAAGTACCAAGAAATGGATGAAGAATATTTGCTTAGGAGTTATACTTTTGACCTAGAGTAAATAAAGGGTTAGATTAATTTCTCAGGGATATCAAGAAATTGAGAATTAGAATTGGTGGTGGATTGGGTATATGTGAGGCTTTGAATAATGAGCAACTTGGACGATGCTTAAGACAAAGGTGTGAGGAAGGATTCGAATAGATTTTTACAAAGTAGAAGTAGCATACTAAAGATTTACTAAAGATTAGAAAGGACAATTGCTTTATCTAGTTTAAGTAAATATAGACATTAAAATAACCAAGAACAAAGCAAATAGAAGAGAATCACTTCTCTAATTTAATTTATTAAATAAATACAAAATTTTATTACATATAAGATTATATTTATAGGCATTAAAATTCCCTTGGACTATTCATATTTTAAATATAATAAAAGAAAAGTGGGGTTTTTTTTTAAGAAAATGCCAATAGCATTAAATAGAAAAAGAATATTACAACCTAATGAAGATAAACCAACCCGTCACATTCCTCCTTTAACAAAGAAAAAAACAAAGGAAGAATGCTAGTACTACTAATGTCATTCCAAATAAAATTGCGAAATAAAGCAAAGTTAGCAAATAAATTGGCTAACTTATTACGTTTTCTATTAGATAAATTGAAAATAACAAGATCAAAACCCTTTAAGAACAAAAAATGAGTATTCGACAAATGTTTGAAACTAGCCATGGAGCCTTCAAAAGATCTTTGAAGATATTTGATAACATTGTAATTGTCACCTTCAATAATTATACCTTTAGGTTCTAGCATCCAATTTTGAATAACCTTCTTCAACAAAAGGATAGCCATTAAATCCACCTGAGCTACATCCCAATGTAACACCATCAAGAAAAATACAAGCATAAACCTCCCATTGTGATCTCTATAGACTCCACCAATACCAGCTCTATTGGATTTTAAAAGAGAAGCATCAATGTTCACCTTTTTCCACTTGGGTGGAGGAGGATGCCAAGAAGCAGAAGACAGCTGAAATAGCTGATTAGCATCCCATAATTTCAAATGAGTACAAGTAAGAGATAAAATTGAAGCAAAGTATACATCATTTACAGTAATTAACGCTGCATTATCCTCTTTCTCTCCATGAATAAGTATATTCCTACTTTTCCATGCAAGAAAAACTATTGTACAGTATAAGTTTCCAATAAAAGAAAAGTTTTATTGACTATTAAATGCTTGGAGTGGTTCAAAAATGCTTTACATACAACTAATTTTCATGCAAAATGCATTATAGAGGTAACCAAATTATGATTCCACTATAGGGACTATAAATGCAAATAAATAAATAAATATTACATTGAAATAAATCTAAATTTTGCCTTGGGCATGGCCCATTCAGTTCTTAAACTTTTGCAAGGTGGTTCTCTTGTTCTTGGAATTGCATGTTTATTCCAAAGAGCTTATCTGATTACCATTTAATTTGTATAACCATTAGTCCCTTTGTATCATCCATGTTAATCTTATTCTTTATTTTGAAGTTGTTTTGCTTGGTTTTTGGTTCCTATCAATAGATTTTGTTCACAACACTTGAAAGAATATTTGATCCAAATTTATATAAGAAAATATCTAGACTCTTCAAGAAAAGTAAAAATGAATAAATTATATTATAAATCCTAATGAAGGCTTCCCATATTATGTTAATTATTTCTTAACATTTAAATATTAATTGCACAGAACGTATGGTGTTCTTCAAATGAGGAGCAAATCTATTGTAAAGTTGGTTTGCATGCTTTGGTGAGTTTTCACACAAACTGGCTTGGATTCATTGATTGTTTTTTTCTTTTTTTTGCTTGGATGCATTAATTTAATTAGCCATTAAGTCTGAGTTCACTAGGTAAATTAGGTCCTTGCAATTGGTAACCTATAGTCATCCCTTTATGTAAGTACCATACTCGGGATGGCTTGACAAGTCCTCCTTAGTGAGCTCTATATTTTGGTGAGTTTTAATTTTGAATGTCAAATATGATTTTTGTATACTTTGGGTGTATTGATCCATATTAGAATATAGATATGCATTAAACTCAACTCCTTATTAACAGTAAATATATAAATCTTAAAATAAATAAATCCTATCTTAAGATTTAGTTGCTTTTTGGTGGATATTTTAAATTTTAAAATAAATCTTAAAAATGATTAAATGTATTAAACCTAATTCGTCATTATCAAATGAGTAGACTAAAAAATCATTTAATTAAATTTATTAAACTTAATAAATGTTTTTTAATAAATTTAGAGCAACCTTAATATTAGATCACTATTATCATTAGTGAAATTTTAGATATGTTTGAACCCATAACTTGTTATTAACAATCAAATTTCTAAACGAGCACTGCTTAACCTTATTTGTTGTTTCATTGCAGCAATTTTTTAGATTGGTTGGATTGTCGGCTTCAAGCGCTTTGCACGTTACCTGTTCGCCATGAGATTACAGCAGAGATTCAAGACCTCAAATATAGGATTGCTCACATAAGTGATTGTCAATTGCGTTATGGCATTACTCCAATAGTTTCTGGCTCCTATAATATTTCTAGCTCAATGAGCCCCCGCTTCATCGACCATCGACTCAGTGCCTTATTCATGCAAGAGGCTCAATTGGTGGGTATTGATGAACCTAGAAAAAATCTTACAAATTTACTCATTAGGGATGAGCAACAACGTAGGGTCATCTCTGTGTTCGGCATGGGAGGACTTGGTAAGACCACTCTCGCAAAAAGGGTATATGAGGACCTGCAAATGGCAGGTGAGTACTTTGACTGCCGCGCCTGGATTGCCATCTCACAGACATTCAATATAAATGTACTTCTGAGAGACATCATCAAGCAAGTCAAATCTCCTGACCATAAAGTGGATATTGAGGAAAAACAAAAGAATTCTACTGACAAAACAAAAAGTATTGATGATATTGACAAAATACAAAGTCAGGAAGATCTCATCAAAGTACTTCAAACATCACTACAAAATAGGCGTTATATTATAGTGTTGGATGACATATGGAGCATTGTTGCATGGGAGACCATAAAACATGCTCTACCTGAAAACAACAATCAAAGCAGATTAATAGTCACAACTCGGATAGAGGAAGTTGCGAACAACTGTTGCGCCGATGCCGGTGGGGCTGACTACGTGTACAAGTTACAACTGCTCTCAAAAGAAACGTCAATGGAGTTGTTCCAAAAGAGAGTGTTTGATCCCGGTAAGCGCTGCCCCGAGCATCTAGAGAATGTAGCCAATGATGTTGTTGCAAAATGAGATGGACTTCCACTTGCCATTGTTGCAATGGCCGGCGTTCTCAAAAGCATGCCAACCCTCGACGACCATCAGCAATGGACTAACTTGCTCAACAACTTATCCTCAATGCTTGAAACCAAACCAAGCCTTGAAGGCATGAAGCAGGTGTTGCTTCTTAGCTATAATCACCCCCCATACCTTCTCAAGCCCTGTTTTTTATATATGTGCATTTTTTCAGAGAACCATCTCATAAAACGCAAGAATTTGATTCGACTCTGGGTAGCTGAGAGGCTAGTGAGCAACCAATATGCCATTAGCGCAGAGGTTGTAGCAAAGTACTATTTCAATGAGCTGGTTAGTAGAAGTCTTATCTTGCCGTCAGAAGTGGGTTGGAGTGGGAAGGTAAAAAGCTGTCGAATTCATGATGTCATGCTTGAAGTTATTGTCTTTAAGTCAATGGAGGAAAATATGGTTTCATATCATGGTAAGCAGAGCATAGCAACTCTTCAAGCTGAAAATGTGATTCGACGATTATCTCTTCAGAAAGAAAGCAATCTAATTAGAGGCATACCAAATAACATTGACCTATCACATGTTACATCATTGTCAATTTATGATTTTGAAAAGATCCCAGCCTTTCTTCCAAGATTCAAATTAATTAGAGTCTTGGTGTTGGAATATTATAAATTTGACTATGAAGCAAAAGATGGTAGCTTCTTAAGAATTCTTTCAAAGTTAAGGCATCTTCGATACTTGAGCCTGAAAGGAACTTCTCTAAGTTCTTTATCAAAAAAAGTAGAGTGTACTTTCTCCAAATCCTTAAGTAAGCTTCAAAATTTGGAGATACTAGACTTACGTGGTGCTGGCTTAAACCAACTATTTTCTTCAGTTGCAAAACTTCCACAACTTCGTCATCTTCAAATGGGAAGCCATATCTCTCTTTATGAACCATATATTAGCAAATATAATACTAGGATGAAACTTGGAGTGTTGAGAAATCTCAAAGATCTGCAAACATTGGTGGGCTTGAAGATTAATAATATGGAAAAAGCTAGGGAACTAGGCTACTTAACTCAATTGAATAAGCTAAAGATCAAAGTGGATATAACATCCCCAAAAACATATAGCTCCTTATGTGCTTCTCTAGAAAAATTAAGTGGAACTCTTCTTTCATTGAGGTTTGATGAGCATCTGAAACCATTAGGAAAATTTAATTTGAACATAAAAAATCCTCCTTCCTTGCTCCAAAGCCTTCAAATACCATCCAATATTAATATATCACATTGGCTTGGCTCTCTTAGTAACTTAGCAAAATTGAGTGTACATGTAGAAAAAAAGGATGACTTGAAAGTCATCAAAACTCTACCCAACTTGCTTTGCCTTACTCTATCCATGTATTTCAACATGGCACTAGAGTTGTCGTTTAGTATAGGAGGTTTCCCAAACTTGAAGATATTAAAAATTTACAGTCCATATCGAATTTAATTCCAAATGGATTGCATGCCTGTTCTTCAAAAACTTGATTTCAGTAAATGCCAACAACTTGCAAGTGTCATTGGAATTGGATTTTTTCCATGCCTCCAGGATATTCGGCTTCATACAGTGTCAAAGAAATTTGTAGAAGTATTGAAGTCGGAAGTGGAGAAACATAAGAACATACCCAAACTTATGACATTTCATGTGAAAGATAGAAACTAAAATAAAAGCTTTTGGATTAAATGTGTGGCCTACAAGCATATATCGAAGGTCCTCTTTTACAAGACTTGATTTTGCATGTTTTACTCCACCAACCAAACACTCCTACATTTCTTGAAATTGGACATTTGCTATCTTATTTGAAATTTATCTCATCATGTAAGACTTCTTCTAAGTTCAAGAGCATTGTCATGCACAACACAAGTTTATTATAAGATTAATGCTTGAATTATCAATGTACTTTTTTATTTATTTTTTTAAGTTTCGAATTTTCTATTTCTAATGAATGGATATTAGTTGTGATAGACATTAGTAAGAAAATGCTAAGTGCCTAGTCAGTTGGTATTTTAATCATAGTTGAATTTCAATGTGTTATGTGAACATTACCATCTCATTCTATCAAGTTATCAAGGTGCAAAAGTACAACTAATATAATTGAGAATATTGAATAATAATATATTATGTGAACCATATTTTGAGAATTCAAGAGTATTGTTCCATTGTGCATATCCTATAATCAATAAAATTGAAAATATATGTATTTTTAAAATTTAGATATAAACCCCAAAAAAATTCAATGGTGAATTTATTAATATGTATGCACAATTGAGTTTTTTTTGGGTTATTTATCTTTATCTTGTGTAATATTTTTAAATATCACGCATTTAGTAAAAAAACTTTGGAAAGAAATAAAAAATGATAGGGGAAGTCATTTTAAGTAGAAATTATGACGGAAAATTCTAGTAGAAATTTATGGTAGAATTTTTTTCCAAAGAAAATTTTTCCGGAAATTCCACCCAATTTTCCGTTAGAAATCCTTTTTGCAAAATTTTTAAAACAAATTCCTATCCATATTGATCATAAACGTGAATGGATGGGTGGGAAAATTTGTTCTGCTTCAAATGCGACATGCTCTCCACCTATAACAAAAATGTTAGAAAGTAACGGTAAAAGTATATGTAAAGAGATAAGAGAGTGTAGCCTCGATAAGATGAGTGATCGTGTCTACTCGGTTCGGTCTATGGTTGAGGATTCTCACGGTAATCCCTTAATATGGAAAGGAAGAAAGGTGTTGGTGAGGAGAAAACTCACACTTATTAGGTTTAGGAAGAAAACTAATTAGTTTAGCAAAAAATATACACTCGTTCTATTTGGGAGGTAAAAAAAAAAAAAGTTTGTTCCTTTTTAAGCTTAAAGTGCAAGTAAGTGTCCGTAGCTTCGTTTGACAGCTGCTTTCGCATGCCAAAAATTTAAGTGAATGTAGAGGGCAAATTATTTGGTGCGAAGTACAGACGTAGCACTACGTCCGGATTTCAATTAAATTTGTACACGTGTAATGCGGACACGTGGAGATTTATTGTGCTTTTTTTAAGAATCTTGTTTAGAAATTTAAACTGTGTTAATTTGCTGTCATTTTGTTGCGCTTTTGCTGATCTTTTACTGCGCTTTCACTTTTGATGTGTTTTTGTTGACCTTGACTTTTGCTGCGCTTTTACTGTCATTTTCCTACGTTTTTGCTGCGCTTTTAATTCAACTATCATAATTCACTATGATCCTTAATTAATTGCCTTCAACTTTTATTCAAGTTTATCTGATGAGTGAGGGTATTTTACACATCAATCAAATTATCTCTAAATAGTTGGGAGTAAACAACCAATCATAAGTTTTTAATACAATTCTTAATGTATTAAAACTTAGACACATACATTTTTCCTTCAGCAAATTAAACATTAGGAAATTAAACTCTAAAGCCTTATAAGATTAATCGAATTATATAGCCAAACACACTTTAAATTGATTGAGAGGACAACCGACTCCGGTCTTAGGTTAATAATGTTGTTGTGAATGTTTAATGAATTAACTTTAATTTATGCAAAATAAATCGTTTCTTTCATGGATGTGTGTTTGTGATTATAGTGGTTGATTAATTCTATAAATACCCATAATAAGTTTGTATTAAATGCTCTATTGGCCTAGCACCACAATTTCATAATGGCTATTAATATATTTAATACAAATGACTGTTATGGAAGTAGAAGAAGAGGCATACATATTTTGAGATTAGTAAAAAAAATAGTGAAAATTTTTAACTTATAGTTATATAAATGACTAAAGTTAGATTTATCTATCAAGAATAAAATTTAAACTAAAATTAAAAATATCATAGTATTATCAAAATGATTACTCATAACTCATTGATCAAAACTTATAGAGTTAATCTAGATTTAGTTCTAAATGTAAGCTAGTATCAATAAATTTAAAATTTCGAGCAAAATTATAGAGTGATATCAAGCTTTAAATGTGTGCAACAACTACATCTAAGGTTGTCAAACTTTCTTGAATGCTGCTATTATATACAAACACACACACTTATGGTGATTACGAAGCTTTCTTAGAGTCTTAATTCTTTTGTTTTGGCTCAATCTTTAAGAGGAACCTTTTAAGTTTAAATAACAAATAATAAATGGGAGGAACAATTATAAAGGATGAATATATGATATGTATCATAAAGTAAAATTGTTAGGTGTTGACATAAGAGTAAAGATAATCTATTACTTAGTGCCGCAACAAAAAATCGAATATAGTACTCAAACCTTCTTATTTACATATTTAACAATTAAATCATTGTATTTATATAGCTTATCATTCCGTTAAAGTCATTCATGCACACAACGGGAAGAGCAAGCTATGCAAAATCTCCTGATAAGATATCGCCAATGGCCATCTACTGGATGACGATGTGCGGTAAAATGCATGAGTCGAGGTCATTGATGGGAATGAGGGCTTCTACAGTATTGTAACCTTTAAAATACTTAGTTGGTCTAGCTCCATAGCACCATACAATCCAACATTGGTAAACTCTTCCAATGAAATATGAGAATTTACTTTACTTATGAAATTTTTATCTTTGGTGTCCAACCCAACATCACCCTACTTCTCTTTTAAATATAAATACCACTAATGAAAACTTCCTATTCTCTAGACACTACAATCCATCAAAAATATTTTTAATCCTCAACAAACAATCATATGTCACTTGTGGCTCAACTAGTCCCTTAAAAAGTTTTGCCTTCAATCTATAAAACATCTACAAATGCTTATATTTTTTATCTTCTTTACTTCAATACTACCAAGCTACTATAGGCATCAGTTATTAATTGGGCCACTATACTGAAAAATTGTATAATAAAGTCTAACAACATAGGAGTTGTTTGTAGGCTCCGAAAATTCCTCGGCCTCCCAGTTGCTTTCGAGGGAAGTTTTAATGTATTAAGTTCTAAGATAAATTTTAGGAGGGTAGATTAGGTTTGAAGATAAGAAACATGAAGAGATTTTCCATCATTTAACGAGGACCTTATGATCTGAGTTCTGTTTTCTTATAGGCACAAGCCCGTTTAGTTAATTACTCCTCCTAATAATGAGAGAGAACTTTCTTTTAAGGCTAGTCTTAACTCAGATACGTAGAAGTACTTGTATCTATCATATAGTAGTAGAATGGGTTTGGATGTTTAAAAATTTGATTGTTAAAATTAGAAATTTTACCATCTTATACTTAAAAAGGATGGTGGGGGGAATGAAAGATTGACCCAATCAGGATCCCTTGGTTCCATCATCCTGGGCCATCATGGTCCTCATTCTAATTAGTTAGAGCATATAGACAACCCAATCTGATGGAAGGGTTATTGTCAGCATCCATGTAATGTGTCATCCAAAGTTACCTTCAAGGCTTGAGGTGAATATTTGTCTAAGGGGACAAATTTGGATCCTCCTTAGCTAATAGATGGCTTTATGCCCTATCGTTTATATTATATTGATTCATATCTCAAGGATTTAGTTTCATTGGAGAACATAAGGACTCTAGTAATGATCATAATATAGTGGTGCCATTTGGCAGCAAATAACCCAGTTTAGAGGGCCCTGATCATAATCGTTTACTTGTGATAGCATTTGGAGGTAAAACCATCTGTTAGAGGACTTGTGCCAAATTCTCACTGTCTTGAGACTATTTGAGAATGAATCCTAGAGATATTCTTGATAATATATTATCTCTTTGTGAGCTAAAGTTATTTTCAAATTTGTCCACCTTTGTAAACTATTATGGAGAGCAGATGGATTTTCCTTTAATCAATTGAAGATTGATTTCAATTTTAATATTTTGAATTTTAGTATATTATTGGAGTATTGAATTTTTTGGTTATTTGGATGGTATTTGAATATTTGGAATTAACTCCTTTGGTTGAGATCTATGTTCAACACAACCATTATTAGAGTAACATTTTGACATTTTTATTTGTGGATTGAATCTTATTGACTTTGTTCATTTCCTGAAAGAGGATTGGGGTCTTTGTCACATTGTGCTTTTGTTGGGAAAATTTCATTGCTCATAAACCTTAAAGGGCTAATATGGATGTATGAAAATAAATATATCATTCAACATTATGATAGTAAATTTTTTTAATGGTTCAAGTCGTGTCGATTTATGTCCTATGAATTAGAAGGATTGGACTTGAACTTAAGTTCATTTCTTGACCGAATTAACTGCCTTAGACGTTAAGTGTATACCCATAACACACTTATCTGGGCCCGTAATGGTGTGTGATTATATATACACTTTCATATTTGTGTTCATGTGCATATATATTATAGTGCATGTGTGGAGGAATTTTTAGATATATTGTGGGTCTTTTACGGTGGCTCATAGTAGTTCATCCTTATCATGACCTTTATGTATTTTAACCGTAGGTGACATGTTGAGTGCACGATGGGTCTTCTACAATGGATTGTGGGTGCTTGTAATTGCGGCATGTCACTCACTTCTAATTGTAAAGGATCATAATGATTGCTTGATAATCATTCTTCATTAAATGTGAAGTTGAACTGGTATCTACTGCACCTTATCCATCATCACCCGTGAGCAGATTACTATGTGTGTGATAGGTATTATACATTTGTCTGTAGATATCCAACATAATGTAGAACTTTATCTTTCGTTATGAATTACACCACGCACAAACATCCACATGAGAATAAGATTCATCATTGTGAAATTTTATCCCTTGTCTTCATTTGCATACAGATCGATTTTCTCACCTAAATTCTGCCATTTGAATAGTAGTTGAGTTACATTCATTATTAGCTCCTTAATGTATATCAGCTAATGAATCATCAAATTCATTGCAAGTTCTTTATTATCACTTACAAGGGTTTAGTGCATTCAGCTTCA